GTTCAGCAGTTAGGGCCCAGGGTACTCGGCATCCCACCTTCCCCCCAAATTTGGCTTGCCCAATTGACCTTCTGGTCTCACCCCCCGAAAGAAGGGTCGAGTGTGTCCCTGACCCCTGGGGGTGGCTTCCTCCCCTGGGGAAGGGCCAGGTGGGGGAAGGCTCGCTTCTCTTTTCCTCCCACCAGTTCACAGTTAAGCAAGCTCTGACCCTGAACTTCTCCCTGGTGTCCCAGCCAAGTTTCTGTTCTTTTGTTTAAGCAATATCACTTTTACCTTTGTTTACTCCCTGACCAGGGGAAGGGGTGCCCCGGAGCCCTGGCCTGGAATTTGTATGCTCTGGGCTGTGGCACTGGGGTGGAGAGGTAAATTGTGGGTGGCAGTGAGAAGTCTGGTTGTGGCTAAGACATGGTCTTGGGAAAGATCTAGGTTTGAATCCCACCTCTGTCGCTTTCTAGCTCTGTGACTTTACATGAATGGCTCAGCTGAAGCTCTCTTTCCGGCAACATGGGTAGAGCACCTTACAAGGCTGTTGTGTGAATAAAAACAGCTCATACGGAGAAAAACCCAGTTTGGTGCCCGGCGTGTCGTGGATACTAGTGCCTGGCCCCATGATTTTCCTGGGTGACTGAAGCTGTAGGAGTTTCTAGTGGGGTTGGTGACTTTTCCTAGCTTCATGCCAGTCGCCTAAGGACTGGATGTGGGTTATATCTGGAGTGAGAGCTGCTGCCCGTGGATTTGCTGAGACCTTTAGGGGCAGCCCAGACCCTAGAAGTGGGAAAGGAAGACAAGTCCAACCCAGGAGCCCAGAGACCTAGGTTCTCTTTTTTTTTTTTTTTTTTTGAATTTTTGAATTTTTATTTATTTTTTATACAGCAGGTTCTTATTAGTTATCCATTTTATACACATTAGTGTATACATGTCAATCCCAATCTCCCAATTCATCCCAACACAACCACCCCCCGCCACTTTCCCCCCTTGGTGTCCATACGTTTGTTCTCTACATCTGTGTCTCTACTTCTGCCCAAGGTTCTGTTTTTTTTTTTAGGGACCTAAGTCCGTTCTGCTTGGGTGACCTTGGCAAAGGCCCTTATCTTTTAATCTGGGTAATGAAGTGAGATGGTTGGGCCTCAGACACCTTCTGTAGGTAGGCATTAGTCTTTACAGCACAGAATAGCGCCTACCCCTCTTATTTTCTATGGAGAGTCTGGGGAAGCATCCAGCATCTCTAAACCTCCAGGCAGCAACCCCAGGTGCCCACCAGCGTCTGCTTATTCAGCTGCCGATTTCTGTTGTGTGTCTATGAGTAGGACAAAGATATAGAGAGACCTGAGGGCCCAGAGAGGATGCCTGTGCGTGCACACACGAGTGACCACACGCTCCCCGGGCAGGGATGAGGTGAGCCATGTGCAGGGTGGAGTCCCTCTCTGGTCAGGGCTCGGCCTGGCTGCTGGGGGGCCTGGTTCTTCAAAGCCACCTCAGACTGAATGGGCCTTGTCTGAAAAGAGGGTGGGGGAAGGGAGGGCTCTTGGCATCCCCCCATCCACACACAGACACAAAAGGGATACTTGCCCACAATCCCAGGGAGTCTGGTTGAGTCTTGCTGGTCTAGTCTTAGGGATTCTGCCCACTTGGGAATTTCCCTCTTGTCAGGGGTCATGGGCAGAGAAGGGGCCACTTCTGTAGTGGGAGAGGATTTAATTTCCTGTGTCCTCCATCAGTATGCCTTAAGAGCTCCTCTTAAGCCCTTTGACTTGCTGTAAGAGGGCACCTGGGCTCATCTAATGCAGCCTTTAGGGATCCCTGCCCATTTATTTATTTGTTTGTTTGTTTATGGTGCACCACACGCCATGCAGGTTCCTTTAGGGATCCCTGTCCGCTTGCTTATTTATTTATTTATTTATTTATGGCACACCACATGGCATGCAGGTTCTTACTTCCCCAACCAGGGATCGAACCCATGCCCCCTACAGTGGAAGCTCGGAGTCCTAACCACTGGACTGCCAGGGAATTCCCAATCCCTGTCCTTTTAGAGCTGAGATAGGTGTCTGATGGGATCTAATCCTGGCTAATTCTGGCCATTCCTGACCTTAAGAAAAGTCATTTATGCTCTCAAGGAACCTGGTATAAAAATGAAGGGTTAGGGGCTTCCCTGGTGGCGCAGTGGTTGAGAGTCCTCCTGCCGATGCAGGGGACACGGGTTCGTGCCCCAGTCTGGGAAAATCCCACATGCCGCGGAGCGGCTGGGCCCGTGAGCCATGGCCGCTGAGCCTGTGCATCCGGAGACTGCTCCGCAACGGGAGAGGCCGCAACAGTGAGAGGCCCACGTACTGCAGAAAAACAAACAAACAAACAAAAACCAACAACAACAAAAAATGAAGGGTTAGGGATGACCCGGTGACCCCAAGATGGCTGAACTAGGAATCAATCTAGTTTTCAGCCTGGGTTTTGCTGCAGACTTGATCTTCATTTCCTGATGTAAAACAGAGCTGTTACCAACCAGTGTGCTGATCCCGTGGGCTGTTTTGAAACACTCCTCAGCACTTTCACCCACTAAAAGAAAGGCAGGATTCATAAATAACCAGTCGTGGCTCCTGGGAATGAGAAGGTAGGGGAAGGTCTCAGCCTGAAACAACACAGTGTTGGGACCCCAGCCCCCATCTTGAGGACTTTGAGCTCTGACTGGTCTCCAGGCCAGATAAGCAAGTGGCCAAAGTACCTTCTTTCCCTCCTGGGCTGGGTTTGACCTCTGCTTGACAGGGCTCCCTCCTAACCGGGGTAGGTGGGCACTCTGTGTATACGTGTGTTCATGCATGTGTTTATCCGTATGTGGCTAAAGGCTCAGGTGACCCATGCCTGGGTTCTGGTCCAGTGTGGACACTTTCTTGCCTGGGTGATCTTGGGGAAGTGACTAATTTTCTGAGCATCTCCCCGCCCCCCGCCTCTTAATACTTCTGCAAATAAGAGCTATGAGGTGGAGCTCATTCACGCTAAGTGCTTAGTCTGGTAAGCCGCCGGGGTCCTGCTGTTTCTGATTCTGGGCCTCAGGGGAATTTGCAGCAGGAGATGGGGGTAGAGCACAGGGACCCCACCCTAGGTACAGGCAGCTTGCGCAACCACGGAGGAGCCTTCCTCCAGTGCTGCCAAACTGAAGCCACAGGCATGGGGCTGTGTGGGGGGCTGGAATTCCAGCGCCGGCAACCCCACAGCTCCTGATTCCTGAGTCATGAAGTCATCCCCCACCAGGGCTTAACCCCTTCTGGCTCCACACCCCCATGTGTACCAAGCATTCAGCAGAGATTCTCGCCTTGGCGGTGGGAGGGGGTTGCCTGCCCACTGCCTTCCTCCCGGCCTGACCCTGCTCCCTTCCGGGAATCCAGCTGCCCTTGACAGGGTGGAAGGGGACCTGATATGATAGTCCGGTTCTGCCCACCTCTCCCCGGAAGCCTGGGCCTCTCCCACAGATGGTAACCTTGTCTTAGGAACGGATGTTCCTTCTCAGGCTCTCCCCTGTATTACTGGCAAGTCTCCGCTGGGTGAAGGACAGCTTGGGCAGTCAGAAGCACACCCTGGCCTCTTTCCTCTCTGAGCTATGTAGCTAACTCACTGTGTGACCTTGGGCAAGTCACTGCTGTGTCGGGGACTCATCTTGCAAACTCTGTGAAATGGGAGGACAGGGGCCTCCCTGGGCTCCAGCTGGTGTTCCTGGTTCTGAGGAGACCTTCCACCCACTGCAGTTAGGGGGTTGGGGAAAAGAGAATGTCTTGGGCAGGGGTGTGTATAGAACGTATTCGAAACCCTGACGCTTCTGGGAAATAATAGGCACTTTAATATTTGAGTTCATTAGTGAAAGAATGAACTTTGCCCAGGGCTGCTGTTCCGTGGGCAGAGGAAGGTTTAGCCCAGAAGCTAGGGGGAAGGGTGGTGCGCATCCCAAATATTTCCCGACTCTCTTGAAGGGGCTTTGTTTTACACTAGCTGAACTTGAGGGGATGGGAGCAGGGTAGCTGATGTTCTGTAGGACTTGGGGAAGGTTCTTCGCCTTCCTGGATCTTTCATACTTTCTTTTTGAAAGCTTCTCAGTGGGGATGGACCTAAGATTCTGCTGTGAACAGCTAGCCCCAATAGGTGGCAGCTGAGTGATACATATGGGTCCTGGAGTGGATGGTCCGTGAGGGCAGAGGCAGGGCTTACTTAGCACACCGCAGAATGACTCTGTGGGAGATGTTTGGAAGGCTGAATACACGAGTGTGCTCATGTGCTCTTGAGTCCCTAGCTCCAGGCAGAGCCCCGACCCGAAGCTGTCCTGGGGTGTGGGTGGGCCAGCCCTGTCTGTCCCAGCCCAGTCTGACTCAGCTGGGAAAGTTGTCCTGGACAGGGCGAGACCAGCACCAGTGGCCCTCTCCCTGCCGTGGGTGAATCAGCTGTGATAGCATCATAGCGCCCTGGAGTGTGGATGGGGACCAGTGGCTCTGAAGGCGGGCAGCCCTATGTGGAGTCCTCACTTCTCCATCTGCTACTCCCGTCACCAAGAGAAAATGATTTAATATCTTTGATACCCAGCTTCCTCAGTTATAAAATGGAGTTAAAGACTGGCCTTTAGAGTTATTAAGAACAGAGCCTGGCATATAGCAAGTGCCTCAGTACAGGGCACCTAAGATATTTATGTTCTGTTTATGACCACCTTTATATTTTTATTAGCTCAGAATGGGAATGGGATTTGTCTAAGGTCACACAGCAAGTTAGGGGCCAGGAGGGGGCCAGGACCCAGGTCTCCAGGCTCTGGCCTGGTCCTCTTCCAGCACCCCAGCTCACCTTCCTGAACGCCCACTTCACTGCCTCTCCAGGGTTCAGGGGCTGCTATAGAGCACTGGGGGGCGACTGGCTGATGTGTCTCCTGTTTTTACCCTAGATCCGAGAAACTGAGGTCATCGACCCCCGAGACCTCCTAGAAGGCCGACACTTTTCCGGAGACTTACCGGACGATGAGGATGTTGGCGTACCTGGGCAGGAGCCCCATGACTTTGAGCTGTCTGGCTCCGGAGATCTGGGTACGGAGGGTGTGGTGGGCAGGCCGGGGCCCAGGGCTGGAGGGAACCCATCCTCTTCCTCCTACAAGGGTGACCCCACCTTGAAGTTGGATTTTCCTATCGTGCCCCTCCCCCTAAAAAGGGGGAAACAGAAGTTGCTGGATCAACCCATCCCTGAGACCCTCTCTGGGCAAATGGTTTGTTGCTTTGAGTTCAATTTTAGTTCTGCGTTTTCTTTGCGCCAGCCCGAACCTGTCCACCTTTGGACAGGGTTGGGTGGGGTGGGTGTGGGGAGGAGGACTGTTGAGTGTTTTTCTTCCTTTGAAAAGGAAAGGGAGCAGCTCAGAAGCCTGGGAGCAAGGTGACGAGAGGTGTGGGTGGGAACGGAGAACAAACCCCCTGCTTCAGAGGGCGTGGGAATAGTGAAGGGGCCCAGACCAGGGGCCGGTAACTCTCCTGGTCTTCTGTAACTTCCTGGCTCTGGCTGCCGGGCTAGACAGAACTGCAAGAAGCATCCCTCCTATGTGTGAGGTGGTGTAATAATTTGAAGTTTGAGCTTTGGAGACACGTAGTCCCGAGTTCAAACTGCCACTCGGTGACCTCTAAGCCTTGGTTTCCTCATCTGTAAGATGGGAATAGAAATGACATTACATCGGTGTCTGTGTTGTGGAATTGGGACTGAGTGAAAGCCCTCGGCATTTACCACACACTCAGGAAATACACGAATATTGCAATTTCTAATATTTACTATTGCAATCTAGATGCTTCTCAAATGAATCCCCTGGAGATCTTGTTAAAATACAGATTTTGATTTAGTGGACCCTGAAATTCTGCATTTCTAACCAGCTATTGGGTGATGCTGTTGGTCCTGGGATCTATATGGAGCAAGAGTTTGGAGCTGACCAAAAACTCTGCCCAGCTACCAGCTCAACATTCCTGTGAAAGAGCCAGGGAGGCAGGTCTCAGGAGCCCCATTTTATAGATGAGATGACTGTGGCTGGGGTGGGAATGATCACCTGCTGGACACTGAACATTTGGGGGCCGATTGTGACTTCGAACTCCCACCAGCCCTGGGTCATTGACCTGGGGGTAACCGACCTCGCATTCACATGGCCTTTCTGTCCTTACAGATGACTCAGAGGACACCCCTATCTTCCCGGAAGTGATCCATCCCTTGGTAAGCAGCTACACACTTTTTTGCCTCTCCTGTTCTTAGTACCTCTTGAGGGGAGCAGAATAAGTGGGAGTCTGACCTCACTCTGCAAGAAGGCTTCTATTTGTGGCCCTGGACTCTTGGGACAGGCACAACTGCGGGTCATGGGCAAGCCATCCTCTCTGCAGGGGTAATCAGTAAGTGATAAACACTTAGATGTGTTTCCAGCCTCTTTTTCGGTGTGCGTTTCTAGGTGTTTCCCAACATTAATATCGAATTTTACATACAGTTCTATGTACTTCGGTTTTCACTTAAAGTGATCATGAGTATTTCCCCATGTAAGTAAATGTTTTTCCTATTCATTTTTATGGCCTGCGTAATCAGAGCTCACCCAGTTTCCCTTATTGATGGAAAAGAGGTTTATGATTTTTTGATCCTTCAATGACAACACTACAGCAAACATCTTTTACACAAATCTCTGATTAGCCCCTTAGGACAGAGTCCCAGAGGCAAAATCGCTGCCTTAATGGAGAAGCTTTTTCTGCAGTTTTGCCAAACCACCCTCCAGAATAGAATAGTAATATTCTATTACTCTAGAATGTTCTAGAACACCTGCTTCCCTGTGCCCTTGGTAACCTTATTCATTCCCCTTTGGGGACAGATTTACTAGAAAAGTTGACAGCATAATTGTTGAGAGGTTGTTGCTGATTTCTGCTCTAGGACCACGTGGTTTGGCCAGCGAGATGCAGGACCCGATTCCTCACCTGGCTGAATGTCCCTGTCCCCTGCCCTGGGTCCCTCCCCAAACCACGCTGAGTGTTGGTCTCTTTTCCTTCCTTCTATCCAGGTGCCTCTAGATAACCACATCCCTGAGAAGACAGGGCTTGGGGGCCGGGTCCCCACCGAACCCAAGGAACTGGAGGAAAATGAGGTCATTCCCAAGAGGATGTCACCCTTTGGTGGGGACGAGGATGTGTCCAACAAGGTGTCCATGTCCAGCACAGCCCAGGGCAGCAACATCTTTGAGAGGACAGAGGTTCTGGCAGGTAAGGTCCCATGCTTCCCACAAGATACCCCGAAGCGGGAGAGGGCTTCAGGTGGGGGCAGAATAGAGCTGCAGGCAGGGATGCCTCTAGCTACCCCTTCCTGACAACCCCTGGGTGCCCTGGGGCCTTGAAGGATGACACTTCCCCAGAGAGGTGACTCTGACTCTGTGTGCAGCCTGTTGCACAGAGAGGAAGAATTACATATCAAGGGCTAAAAAAAAAAATAGATGTTGAGTCATTCACTTGCCATAAATCCTTCTCTTATTTACAAACCACTTTCCCAGCCTGAGTTTAGCACCTGGGGAGTCAATTATTAAAAGTTTAACCTACCTTGAAAACTTCCCCTGAAAGCCCAGAGGCTCCTTTGGGTTGGGCTGTCTTCCCCTCCCCCTGCTGTCACTTGGCAGCCTTGTGACCTAGGCTGAGAAGCTTTCCAGCCTCAATTGATGAAGTGACCCTCAGTTTCCTTGTCTGCAAATGGGTACAGTGCTATCCCCTTGGGTTTCATGACTTCATGAAAAGTAGAATCTAAAATAACTGGGCAAACTGTAAAGGGCTGTTCTGGTTTGTTAGTCTAGTTCACAATAGTAGGTGGCACAGTATAGTATACTAGTAGTAGGTGGCACCCAGGGAAACTTCATGGGCCAGATTAAGAAACAGAGGCCTAGAGAGAGTCCATGTTTGGCGAGAGCTGTAGCGTTCTTGACTGTAATGTGCTGTGTGGCGAAAGCTCTGTCCCGGGTAGAAGCTTCAGGGGTGGCTCTGTGTAGCCCGGCTGTGGGGCCTTCAGCTGGGGTGGTATTTGGCTTCTTCTCTTCTTCCCTGGCAGCTGTGGGGGGTCCCCAAAGCTGGGTGGGGGGCTTTGTCAGAGGGAACTCCCTTTCTGGCCAGGTTCTACAGGCCGAGGGCCAGCCTGGATGAACCAGCCTGGTGAAGGGGCACCCTGGGCCCAGGCTGGGTTTTTCCTGTCTTCTGGCAAGCAGCTGGACCGGCAGCTCCGAGGAAGCTGGAGGTACAGGGAAAGAGCCCTGTGCGCTGCCTGCCACCAGGACAGATA